CAGATGACCCATCCTTTACACTTAAACCTACCCTTAAACCTACCCATACCACCACACCTGTCCCTAACCTTACCCGTATCACACCTCAATAGCAGCAAAAGTGTTTTACAATACAACAGCAACACAATAATACATTGTACTTATTGATCGATGTAAGTACATAGTACTTAAAGCCACTTATTATAAAGTGGGACCCTTATTTCACTCGATCAAATGCTAATCAATTTATGAACTATATATGTTTTTGTTTTGTTTTTTTGGGGGGGAGGGGGGTTGTTATTCTGTCTCTATCGTTTAAAATTATAGCCCTTAATTTCTTTGTAAATATATATATATATATATATATATATATATATATATATATATATATATATACTGTATATATTACAATGTATGTGGGGAAAAAGCAACATGCTAAAACCATGGTACTTTATGACACTTTTTTGTAAGTGTTCAAAAGAATACTGGAGTAAAAACAGCTCAACTGCAGTTTTAGGCATGCAAGACAAACAACAGTGGTGTCTTGAAAAGAGCACCAGGAGCAACTCCACTGCTTGTTTAAGCACATAACTCAGTTTAAAATGCTAATACTTGCATGAGCCAATGCACTTGACTGCGAAATTCCCTTTCAGGCAATTACTGCTTTTGTATTTTGCCGAAAGCTGTATGCAGCACATATATTATACGCTGTGGATAAAATTAATTGAGAATTTGGGTCTCAAATAATTCATACACGGGTGAATTTGAATTTCAGATGTGTGCTGTGGTGTATTTTTCGCCCCTTCTTGAACATGCTTCTTCAGGCAGCTTGAGGAAGCTCAGAGTTTGCAAAGGATCGATGCAAGAATGATAATGAGTGTGGCAGCATTCATCCTGCATGCATTGCTGATATCATTTTAGCAGATTAGTGAAACTAAAGCACCCAACAGCCCATCTTAACGGTGGCAAAATGGGGTCGAATGCTAGCGTGTAATGAGATCGAGAAACCTCACACAATAACTCTTTGTAGAGCCAGAGATGGGGAAAAAAAATGGTCACCACATTTTAAGTATGCAAAACTATTTTGATGCTCACAACCAATGAGGTCATGCTTCTAGGCTTCTGTTTGAATAAAAAATTATAAATTCAGAATGTTAAAATATGCCATCAGTTTCCCACAACTGATACATCTCTTCTTAATTGAAATTTTGCATTCTTTTTAACGTATTGCCAAAACAAGATTTTCATTCTTAGTCGAGTCAGTCTGTGGTGTTAATATCGTCTCCTGCTCTAATGTCTTTTCGTTATGCAAATTTGCAGCTACAAGTCCACAAAAATTGCACATGCAAATGAACGACAATGAATGGGATATAAAGTGATATGATGGTCTGTTTAACATGGGTTTTCCTGCCCAAGCAACCTTTAATATTTTCCATACATTTCATGATGTGAAGAAGAAGCAATTAGATAGTCTGGAAATGGGATCCTCTTCAAGGGACATTGACTGACATACACTATCTGTCACATCGGGTCAGGAACGAGACAGAAAGCGAATCCAATCGCAAGCATTTATTAATCACACTAACAGATAATCCAGGGACCTCAGAACAGGACAGATGAACAGGCAGGAACCGAGTGACATTAAACAACAACCGACACCCAACAACTGAAACACAGGGGTATAAATACACAGACAAACAAGCTAATCAAGCTAACAAGGGGGTGTGGTAAATAAGAAACACCTGTGGACACTGAGCAAAATCATAACAAAAGACAAGACACATGGCAGGATCACATGACAAACAAGGAAACACGTGATACACAAAGCAAAACAAAACCCACAACGTGACATAGCCTCCCCCCTATGGGCGGCTCCCGACGCCCCTAGTGTAACACCCAAAACAAAACCCAAAACACAAGTTCAGGAGGGTGGTGACGCGGAGGTGGTCCTGGGGGAGGGAAGGAGGGCCAAGTCTGTGCAGGGGAACAGGACCAGACTTGGAGCAGACGACCAGGCGAAGGCCAGGGCGGAGCAGGACCAGGCGAAGGCCAGGGCGGAGCAGGACCAGGCGAAACTGTGGGACCCTCGGGCGTCCACAACAGTGAAGGTCCCTCAGACGGCCACGGCGGTGAAGCCCCCTCGGGAGACCACGGCGGTGAAGACCCCTCGGGCGGCCACGGCGGTGAAGACCCCTCGGGCGGCCACGGCGGTGAAGACCCCTCGGGCGGCCACGGCGGTGAAGACCCCTCGGGCGGCCACGGCGGTGAAGACCCCTCGGGCGGCCACGGCGGAGCAGGATGAGATAAAGGCCATTTCTGTATCGCCTCCATGGCCCTCACAAGGTACCTACTGCCCCCCCAAAAAAAATACTTGGAGAAGTCCACAGAGAGTTGAAGGGCACCACTTGAACAGAGCTTGAAGGACACCGGCAGGGCGAGGCGCGGAGGCGGGGCCGGCAGGGCGAGGCGCAGAGGCGGGGCCGGCAGGGCGAGGCGCAGAGGCGGGGCCGACAGGGCGAGGCGCAGAGGCGGGGCCGACAGGGCGAGGCGCAGAGGCGGGGCCGACAGGGCGAGGCGCAGAGGCGGGGCCGGCAGGGCGAGGCGCAGAGGCGGGGCCGGCAGGGTGAGGCATCCTGGTATGCTCACCGAAGCCTGGCGAACCGAACGAGCCCTCCTTTTCCTCCTGCGGCGGCGTTTCACTTGAACTGAAGACTTAATCACATGAACTGAAGACTCATCGTGACTCACTTGAACCGGATACTCATAATCACTCACTTGAACAGGAGATTCATCACCCATGAGGCTTGAGTGAAGTGCAGGCTCGTCAGGGCTGACGGTGAGCGCAGGCTCGTCAGGGCTGACGGTGAGCGCAGGCTCGTCAGGGCTGACGGTGAGCGCAGGCTCGGCAGGGCTGACGGTGAGCGCAGGCTCGGCAGGGCTGACGGTGAGCACAGGCTCGGCAGGGCTGACGGTGAGCGCAGGCTCGGCAGGGCTGAGCTCCGGCAGGTCGGTCTTGGCGGACAGAGAATCGTTCAGCAAAACAGCCTGGATGATATAGTCCTTCAGGCTACAGCTAGGGTGATGGAGTGGCATAAAGGAGTAGAGTGGCTCGGATAGCCCTCCTCTGAAGAATACCATCAGGCATACCTCATCAAAAGATGAGACAGGTGCCAGCTTAATAAAGTCCATAATATACTCCCCTAAGGACTGATCTCCTTGACGGAGACGCATAATCTGTGCTGCTGGATTCATTTGGAGGTCGGTTGTTCTGTCACATCGGGTCAGGAACGAGACAGAAAGCGAATCCAATCGCAAGCATTTATTAATCACACTAACAGATAATCCAGGGACCTCAGAACAGGACAGATGAACAGGCAGGAACCGAGTGACATTAAACAACAACCGACACCCAACAACTGAAACACAGGGGTATACACAGACAAACAAGCTAATCAAGCTAACAAGGGGGTGTGGTAAATAAGAAACACCTGTGGACACTGAGCAAAATCATAACAAAAGACAAGACACATGGCAGGATCACATGACAAACAAGGAAACACGTGATACACAAAGCAAAACAAAACCCACAACGTGACACTACCAGTGAAACGTTTGGAAAAATTAAGATTTTCTTGTAATGTTTTTTGAAGTGTCTATGCTAAAAAATACAGTAATATTGAATCATATTATTCCAATTTAAAATAATTGTTTTCTATTGTAATATGTATTAAAATATAATTTATTTCTTTGATGGCAAAGTTGACTTTTTAAGCAACCATTACTCCAGTCTTCAGCGTAACATCGTCCTTCCAATAGGCTTAATATCTTTATAATATATTAATCATTCTAATATGCTTATTTGGTGTTCAATTTTTATCAATTATAACTGGATCTCAATTATTAATAACTGATTTTTATCAATGTTAATCAATTTAATGCATATTGCAATTTTAATTTCTGTTTAACCACAATTTTTTAACGGTTCACGGGTTCCACAAAAAATATTGGGCAGCAATACAAAAAAAATCTAAACACATTAGATTTTAGTTGACTAAATCAACAGTAGAGATCCAGGATTAAGGCATAGTCAATTAGGGCATTTATACCTTTTATAAACATTATAAAAGCTATAATGCATTAGGAAAAAAAAATAAAAACATTACCGCTGTGCATCTTGATACAAAACAATGGCACTGACGTATTTTAAGATATCAGTGTAAGTGTAAGAAACTTTCAGTTAAAACAGCTCAATATGGATTTTTTAGTTCCTTAAAAAAAAAAAAAAGGCTACAAATAAAGCTATAAAAAATTTGACTTGACCATGTCGTGTAAGTGTCTCACCTTCTTTCCAGACAGCAACATAGTGTCTGCCATGCATGGAATTCACATGTTCCAGATCTGGGCCAACACTATGTTGCTGTCTGGGTTGCTATAGGGAAATATTGGGAATAACATCCAGAGAACCAAACAGGAGAGAAAAACAGGCAAAAAATCCAAAACAATGGCCTCTTATGCAGTACCAGACTGATGTTTAGTGCATTACAAAGAAAGCAACTCACATGTGAAAGATAATGTACGTACATGGTTGTTTAGAGGTGCTACAATGAACTGTGCCAATACACATTCAAAACAGAACCAGAGGACAGTAGTACCCAGAACTGGTTCGATGCCAAGATACTGATGTCATCATGTGGGAGAGTGAATGTCAATACATTCTGAGAATATCTCCAAAAAAAGCTCCAAAAGGGGGTTTTCACAGCAATGCCATATAAAGAACCATTTTAAGTTCCCCAGAGATCCTTCAGTAAAGCGTTAAATAACTATTATAAATAACTATATCTAAAGAACCGTTTTCCACTATTTGTTGAATGAAAAAGTTTCATAGATATTAAAAGTTTTTCATGGAATCATTGATGCCAATATTGTAAGAACGTGTTAGAGTAGAGAAAAAAAAATGTCAATATAACTTTATAGTTATACTCTATAGAACATTCATTTATGGATGAATCAACAGGCTTTACCTTGTTCCCACGTGACCACCTCCTATCTCTCAGGACTCACTGAAGCAACAGGTGAACTCAGCATCTGGAATACATTGCATAGTAATTGGCTTCTATCCACGTCACTTTTGACTTTCAACTCCCGTCCAAATTTCCTCAACTTTAATTGACTCTTCTGCCAGTGGGGGCACAGGCACACACGCGTAGTCGTAGGCATCTGTCCTCATTTCTCTCGTGGTTATTTAAACCCTCTGTGTCAGCCGAGAGATTAGACGGGTGTACGGAGCCATCAATAACAACGTTTCTGCACCCGTCTCCCGGGCCGGCACTGATGATGGAGCGAGTGGAGCCGTTGCTTGGTAACGGACGGATGGTCTTATTCACGGCAGAATCACCGCTCTGATGAACTGCACCCATTTTTTTTCTCCCGCAGACTGGCATACATCCAAAATGCCAACCCAATTGCTTCCTGGGAAAAGCTGAGTAGGGGAACTAATCTCAGTTGAATTTGGTAGCCCGATTTTTAATTTTCTTCTATTCTTCCTTTGGAAGCCGCAACTCCAGCACCCAAAAACCTGCATTACTTCCTGTTTCAAAAAGATAACTACTTCTGTTTCATTGCAGGCAGGCAGGATTCTTCTATATATTATAGGTCTGCACAATAATGCAGAGGCAATTAACTTTATTAATTAACTGCAGACTAACTTTAAGTCATTCTAAAGGTATGGACGTTCTAATGTTCAAGACTTAGGCCTACTCACCAAGCAAATCGCTCCTTTCACATCATTTTGAGGTTACTTCAGGAGTTTTAGTCAAGAAAATGCATTAATGTCTTTTTTAAACTCATAATTGCAACTTGGAAACTGAGAATTTTATGAAGGTGCTGCTGCTGCTATCACGTAAAACCAACCAAAACAACATAAGTTTCAACAGTTATAGCCCCAATGAAATTAAAGTATTCATTTGATTAATCCAAAGTAATGGATTGTTAACAATCCAAAGTAATGACTGTTAGCTTTAGCTAAGCTATAATGCTACAGTATTGTCACAATGCTGTGTTTTAAATGCACACAAAGCTCAAGGGAAACAGGCCGCCTTTAATAAATCGACAGGTATTGAGAATGAGGAGTCACGTGCCGATTTGGGCGGGGTCTGAGCCGGTCGGCCATGATTAATGCAATACTGATGAGTTTTAAAGTATGAAAGTAGTTTTTTTTTAGTTTAGTGATAGTGTGTCGCGAGTTAGCCTGCCCGAGCGAGCGCATGGTTAGCATGGATCCTCGCGGTCAGCGTGTTAGCCTGCTATACATGAGAGACGGTCATTGATGTCGACATTGTTTGAATATTTCAGTTTTATGAGTTTTATCTTAAATCTATGTATGTGAATTGAGTTATGCATTTCGTTTGCATTAGTTTTGTATGTGACTATATTATAAAATGCATAGGACACGATGTCATCGTGAACATTGGGTAACGTGAGATATGAGTATATGAGTATGTATCTCAGCTCCATTGTTGTCATCAATTTCATATTGTCATTTAGTGGGTCAAGGTAAATATAAATGCTGAAAACGTGTTTTTTTTTTTGTAAAGAATTTGAGTATTACTGTCAATTGTAAATGCCACATGTCTGTTGTGTGATGACACATGTTTGAAGTCACTCATTTACAGTCAGTCGTTACTGTGTAAGAAAAGTGAGACATGTGCAGATAATATAATGTACTAAGCATTTATTATACATGAATGCTTTTATTATTTTCTATTCAGAATCAATACACTGTTGAAGCAATCACGACAGCGCTCTCTTCTCTTCTCATTGATTTATTATTAATCTCCTCTACTTCTCATTCAGAGGTACTACAAATGCCTAGCTGTAGTTCCGCCCCTTCTCCACTGTGATTGGATGGCTGGGTAAAAAGTGACAGTGATGAGCGCTACGTTTTACCCGAAGTTGAACATTCTTCAACTCTCGGCGACCAGTAAAAACGCTGAGCTCTCAGCGCTTCAGCGGAAAAAAAAAACGCTCAATACCTTATTATGGGCCTTTCACACAGGACGCAGAACGTGCAGCGCTGGGTTCAGCGTTGCTCTTCAGTTACAACATGATTTGTTGTAATTTGTGCTGCGCTATGCCAGAGCAAAGAAGGCGGTGTGGACGATGTTAAGTGGACGATCTATACGTCAGTATAATAACGTTAATTATTTGTCCCTATATGACCTCAAACTTGTATTGTACAGCTCAGGAAGTTCCAACACACCCCAGATAGCAAACTGACATTGAATCAACGTGGAAATATGACATCGAAACAACGTTGATCTGACATTGTTTTGCTCATCGAATTAACATTGAACCAACGTCAGACGCGTCATTCTTTTAAAACTAACGGAAAATCAACTTGAAATCAACGCGTTGTTTCAACGTTATGAAAGCAAACCAATTTTCGATTTTCATTAGCTTTGAAGAATGCCGCGACTGACGTTGGTTCAACGTTAATTCGATGAGCAAAATCAACGTTATTTCAATGTCATGAGAGACGTCGTTTCCACGTTGATTCAATGTCAGTTTGCTGTCTGGGACAGTACTTGCCGTTCATCCATTTTGATTTCCGTGCTTGTTTGGATGTCCCATTTCTATTGGCCGTGCTGGTAATTGTCACAGAGCGCAGTGGCAAAAGTTAAACTATTTTGAACTTTGACCGCAGCTTGCACGCGAGGACGTCAATGGTGCGCACCGCTGCGCTATGGTCAATGGAGCAACAAAACGTCTTTGCACGCCGCAAGCAACTGAAATGAATGGGTTTCATAGCGCAGCGCATTCCGTGTCCTGTGAAAAAGGCCCATTACGCTCATGACGTTCTAAAACCCGGCGCTCCCATTGAAAACAATTGAAAACATACACCAGGCGTGTGGAAAAACGCTTTGGTGGACACATGGCTTAAGAGGTTAGAGACCCCTAGCGGTGAAAACAAATACATATTGTCTCTTTAACACTTATTTCACAATATTACATGTTTTACCAAAATCAGATATATGCAGCCTTGACAAATTATAATAGCAATACAAAAAATCTCCATCCTACCTAAATAAACACGAGGGAGAACTGTTAATCAAGTAATTGTATGGGGGTTTTAAAGATAGTTAGGAAACTCTACACTATTTTAGTGGAATAAAGGTTAATATATAGACATTATGTCCCCGCCCCTTTTAAGCTCTGCGCTTCTTGTAATCTGTCTTCCAGTTTGTATTTCCACAGCATGAAGGAAAGATCTCATGAATGAACCGCTCGTTTAAAAACATTTGTTTTAACATCTGCTAAAAACATTACAATGATGACTTTAGTTAACTCTACAATAGATCAGTAAATCCACTAAACCTGCTAATTACTCTTCGACAGTGATGCCATATAAATATACAGAGCTACTGCAAAAACAGAAGTTCAAAGATAAAATTCTAAAGATGGCTGAACTCTTGTTTTTCTGGAACATAAGGTCTAGTTAAATCACAAATTTCAAGCATTTTGTCATCATTACAAAAAAGCCACACATCAATTTTGGTATTACGAGCATCACCATGGAAAGGAATAATTGATCAGTTTGAGGATGTGAGCAGATGGGAGTTAACGTGAATGTAGCATAAGCCAAAACTGCTTTCTGACTTTTATTAGCATGTGATCCTTGCCCTGGTGTTTACTGAGTGTGATTCAAACACTAATGCTCACATTACATGCAAACCTTTTCTGAATATGAATATTGCGAATATACGTAATTAAGATGACACCCCATTGGCACCAAATATCAGACAGCAAAACATCCAGCGAGTATAAAGCTAATTGCTGCAAGAGGAGCATTTTAGCAAAGAGGCAGTGGCACACACACATAAGATTGGATGGACACTCACACAAACAGCTTGAGAGGAGATCTCTGGAATTTGCTAATTTCCTAACTCAAGGGCTCAGTGATATCACACTATGCAGGGACACACACCATAGCATCTGTTTAGGAAGGCCTGCCAAAACACAACACCTGGACGCAGACTGAACACACACACACACACGAGAACAGAAAGCCATGAGGGATGTAAATCTATCCGACACAGCTTGGTTCTTTGCTACTGTTCAACAAAACAATGCAATCACTGGCAGCCAATTCATTCCAAAGAAATATTCTCTAAAGTTATTCAGCTTTACAAATCACATACGGTATACCATTTCTTTTACTATTTCTTTTACTATTCTACTTTTCTTTTACACTATCACAAATCTCAATAATTTTGCCACATATCGATCCATTTCGGCATTATTGCATCTACAAGGAAAATTTAGTTATTTAGTAAATTATGAGTTATTGATATAGTTTGAATACTTTCAGAAAGATTTTATCCAGCTGATGAATGATAAAAACTATCAGCCAATCAGAATCCATCCTGCTGTAATGAGCTCAAGTATTTAATGTGACAGACAAGTGTGCTTAGAATAAACAGAATGATACAATCCACTGGTGTGAACCCTAATATAGTTGTTGTTCTCAGTGTAAACAGGCCTTAATAATAATTGTATATACCATTTTTCATACATAAAATGCAAATTATGCAATCCCAAAGACCACCGATCACACAAAGCCAGCTGTAATTATCCACTGAAGCAAGTTGAACTGAGAACCCAAGTGAAGCTTTATTGAACTAAATCCAGAACGTGAACAAAACAAAACGATAACTAGACGATAAACATCACTATGAACTAAGCTTGACCATAAACAAGAAACTCATTAACAGCAAAAATCAGGCATAGATGCAAACCCAGCTGTAAATGAGGAACCACTAAGCAGAAGGGCATGGTCAATGTTTTGAGCCAAGGGCCAATTAAACCTAGCCTGACTACGTCAGACTTCCTACTTCCGCTAATTTCATTTTGCTCCTGTAGTCAGTCTGAGATAGCGGCCTATCTTTCAGTTTTCCACCGGCCTGAAAACAGCCGGCCAATCAACGAACAGAGGGCGGGCTGAGAGCTGTGACGTAGCTGCTAAGCGCCTAGGAGTACATTGTAGGTTAGAGAAATCGAAAACCGAATACCGAAACAACCGTAGAAATGGGAAACAAGACACGGGATGCAATTCGCTCTGTTATGGAGAACATTACGGGGGTTTTCAAACTGAAGCAAAAGTCGTTTACAGCCATGTTCACTCCGGTATTTCGCTCGCATCATCAGTTAGGACCGGTAGTGCAGTTAGTGCAGACGTTTTTATTTTTGCAAATCATTATAACAAGGACAAATATTAACACTTCAAGCTTAGGCATTTAGGCTACCCATTTTTTTCAGGCTAATTGTAGTAATGACTGATCAGACCTGTTTGGCCATAACTATAAAGACATAACTTACCCCCATTCAACGTCAGTTCTCCGTCTTTTACGGCCATGACAAG